CTTTCATGCAGTGTGACCGGAGATTCCACTTCCAATAACACTAACCCAAGTAAAATGGATTTTAACTCCCCATTAATGAAATTAATAATTTTCATCAAAATTAACACAATAGTAATTTGCATTGTATTGTTAAGGAGGAGTGACTAAAACTCGACTCGACTAAAAAATAATTTTTGTGACTCAATTCGAATTGATTTCGAGTTGTAATTTTATAAACTCAACTTGACTCGAAAAAAATTCAAGTTCAAGTCGAGTTATAAAATACAACTCAAATAATAACTCAAATAACCCAATTTTAGTAATTAGTAAATTGATTTTTAAGTTTGAGTCGAGTGTCTCGACTTTATATAATATACGTATATCACATATGAAAAAAATGAAGAAATCTTTATGTATTGTAAATGATTATAAAAGAACCATTTAAATTGGAATTATATAATATCATAATATTTTAAATATTTACAACTAAATTTAAACAGAAATTAAAAAAATTTCAAATCAAATTTAAATTATAAAATAAGACTAGTTAATTAGAAGAATTAAAAAAAAATTATTCAACTCAATTAAATGCTCAGCTCTACTCTTAAGGGGGGGAAAGTTAGATTCGATTCTTAAAGTTATTATTATTATTGAAAAAAGTAACCACTAACACAACATATGAGTTTACAACGGATATAAAAAATATATAAATACAAACTCTGAAATTATTATTGTTAGAAGAAATAACCACAAATAAAACATATCATTTCTTTTTTTTAAGTCAAGATGATTTCAAAGTATTATTTGTTCTAAATACTTTTGATCATTTGACAATAAACATTCAATCATCTTTGCAGTTGATGATACTCGAATCCGTGACATCTAAAAACAACAATGATTTCTTTAACTACAGAGGTAAATTAGTTCGTGAAAAAATATGATCCTATAATAAAGAGAAAAGTCCATTTTTGTGATTATTAGTCCATCAAAAATCAATTTTCTTAATAATATTAAGGGTAAACTACAAAGTTCGTCACTTTTGTTTCTTTTTTAAAACGTATGGTCACTTGATCCAAAAAAGTTAATATGTGGTCACTTTTGTTTCATTTTAATTAAGACATGGTCATTGAGACATTAGCTGTCGTTAGTTGGATAACGTGGCACGTTAGTAAAAATGTTTAATTTTTATTTGAACCCTTAAACTTGAGATAAATTACTAATTATGGGTTTTTTGTAAATCCAAAATAAATCAAGGATAAAAAATCAATTTACCCATTTTCCCCTATGTTTTCTTCCCAAAACAGAAATGGAAAATCCCTAAAATCAAAGCCCCTAAATTTTATTTTAACCTCGTCACCATTCCATCGATCCCCCGTCATCGTTCGGTCATCGGTGACAGTCATCGTTCGGTCATCAGTGACAGTCATCGTTCGGTCATTGGTGACAGTCACCGTCGATAACATCGTGAGCGCCTGATCACAACAATCAAAACCCCGTTGAGAGTTCCCCATGAGCCACTGACATTCGATGTGGAAAGCTTGTCGAAGTTTTTTCAGAGAAATCAAAACCATCGCACTGTTATCAACGAATTTCGATCGATCCAGTCACCGTTAGGCCTCCCCGTCACTATCTATGTGCTTCCTGACGTCTTGCGAACCAAACCTAATCGGTGTGAACATTCCCGTTGCTGTTGTGGAAGGGGTGAAGCTCGAGGTTTCGGATTTGTTGATAAACATGTGGGAAGAAGGGGTAAATTGATGTTTTATCCCTGAACTATTTTAGGTTTACAAAAAGACCTATAATTAGTAATTTATCTCAAATTTAAAGGTTCAAATAAAAATTAAACCTTTTACTAATATGTCACATCATTCAAATAACGGCAACTAACGTCTCAGTGACCACGTCTTAATTAAAATGAAAAAATGACAACATATTAGCCTTTTTGGAGCGAGTGACCGTACGTTTAAAAAAATGAAACAAAAGTGACTAACTCTGTAGTTTACCCTAATATTAAAAGTAAATTTTAATATCATATGTAAATTATAGGGTGAAGTACACAAATGATCCCTTGATTATATGAAAATGTTGTGTTGATTCCTTTAGTCCCTCGAGTATAGGATGTTGATTTGTTGAGTCCCCCGACTATTATAAGTTACAAAATGGCCACTCAACTATTCATATGTTCCAAACTCATCATTTTTCTTTAAATAATGAATATCATCTAAATTGGATGTTAATATACTGACTGTTATATGAAAAAAAATGGTCCTAAAATCATTTGAATTGTATAGTCGTTTGAGATTCTGATATCAAATTTTATGATATCCTAGTTAGTATGTTAACGCCCATATCACACAGACGTCAATTTTTAATAGAAAATGATGAGTTTGAAACATATAAATAGTCGGATAACCATTTGTAACTTTAAATAGTCGTGAACTTAATAGATAAACATCCTATAGTCAAAGGACTATTTTGTAACTTTTAATAGTCAATAGACTCAACAAAGTGTTGTCAAATAATCAGGGACCATTTATTTACTTTACCCCTAAAGTACATGGGTGAGTTTTCGGTACATATTTATTCTGATTTAAGTTATATCATATGTTTATCTTCTTTAGATTTATTTCGGTCTAAGTTTATATATATTTCGATTTTCAATTAATTTTTTTGCACTGTAATGATTCAAATCGATTGTGATTATATAAATATATTACTTATAAAAATAAAATTAATTTACAATATATATTCTTTTAGAAAATATTTTTTTGTTACCCTCTCGGTTCTAAGGCTCCGCTCTGATTAATCCGGACGACCCATGTCGCATGCCTGGCTTTGGTGAGTAAGTCTCCCAGCGAATATTTTCTACATACACAAAAACTCAAACATAGGGTGTTCAAATGGTTAATTCGGCCACTGACCAAACCGAATTATCATTAACTGAATTAATTGATTTTTAACCATTAATCGAATCAAACTTTTTTTTTGAAAGTATTAATCTAATTGAATAAAGTTCAATTATTTTGATTGGTTAATTGAATTAACCGATTTTTTTTATAATTTTTTAATTAGATTAATTTGAATATAATAGAAGTATTTTTCTTATCTGGGTTAAAATTTAATTAGGTATTAATAATTTAACGAGTCTAGTGTGGTTAAAAATAATTGGATCTTAATTCTTAATGAGTTTTTAGCTTAAAATATGTATTTAATATTATATATAATATTTAATAATTTAGTTAATTCAATTAATTAACTTATTTCAAACTGAATTAACCATTAACTGAAATATTAAAAAAATACTAATTATTTTTCGATCGAACTAATTCAGTGATCGACCGAATTAATCGAACTAATTAAATTTAATTGGTTAATTTAATTAAAATCAAATAACGAATACCTTTGCTCAAACACGAGACTTTACTTAACCGACGTTAAACTATTTATCATTTTAATCGACTCTGTTTGTAAAAATATTTTTTATAATATTTTAATTAAAATAAACTAAACATTTTCCCTGATTTTGTGTCGAAAATGACAATTGAGAATCATTGCAGACAGTTTTGTCTTGCAGCGCAATTTAAGCATAAATTAGGAGTAATTAATAATAAAATATTGATATGTCCCTCTCATTTGTAAATTACCAATTTATATATATATATATATAAAACCTCACAGCCACGTATGACACATCACCATCCCATCATATTCGACAGTCTTTAAATTACATAATTACCCCTATATTTAAGCGAAATATGTAGAATACCCTTGTGAGATCTGGCACCTTTTGGGGAAAACCCTAAGCCCTAGGTGCACGTGAAGGTTGAGAATTTTTGTACCATTGTCGAGTCCTTTTCGAGAAGTATTCAATCAGTGCACCCGTGAATCGATGAGGCTAATTCCGTCAATTCCCTCGCTCACGGCGGCAGCCACTTTACTGTCCGTCTCGTGGTTTTCGGTCAAATTCAAGGGCTTTTCGGGAATAAAATTGCTTTTTTTTTTTATAAATTGTCGCTGGCATTGTTTGAAATAAACTAGCTTCCGTGGTTGTGAAATGTCTATAGTACCCCCTATGTTCCTGAAATATTACTATTAATGAAGCGATTCATGAATTCAAATAATAAGACCAAGTTCCTAAAGATTGAGTTAGAATAATTATGTCCCTAAGATACATGTAAATTGTGAATAATTAAAAAAAAATTCTAAAAAAACATTATATTGTAATCACTTTGTTGTATAACTTAAATTTCTAATATCGATAAAATAAATCTACAACTAAATAAATGAAATTATAAATAAGACACATAAATCTAATCATAAAATCGCGGATAGAGAAGAAAATTCTTACTATAGCATAGATAAATACAAGAGTATTTTACAAAATAAATCAAATCACACATATATATATATATATATATATATTGTATAATGTCATATGATTCTTCATATATCATAGTTTTCTATCCTTTAATTTATTTTCTCACTAGTCAATATCATTGTAAATTTTCTAGATTGAAATAAATAAAATTTAATTCACAAGCTCTAAGTTGAGATGAACTCTTTTTAAAGAGGAGTACTAATGTATGGACTAAATTTGATTCGAACATCTTTTTTGAATAGTCTCTCTGGGGTTACAAGGTAATATTTGTTCATAATCTTTCTTAATTATTGACGCAATGTGTATATACCCTACAGACACACTGTTCAAATATAAAATTTCTAAAAAAACAACATTAATCTCAATGACTGAATTCACTTGATGAGTTGAACTTAGTATGGCAAGTTAATATAGGCTAACTAACTCCACAAAAATGTAAAATTTTTGGGATAAGGACAATTTATTAGAATACCCAAAAAAAACTAGGGCAATTTCTTATAGCATTAGTCAAAGCTCTTGAAAATAAATATATACACACACACACTACCTAGTAGTAATATTTATTAATCAATAATAGACTCTAGCCAAAGAAAAACCCGGTCGAGTGTGCTACATATATATGTTCACTTATCTATAGGTAGAAGAAAGGAGAAATTCTTGGTTCTTGTCTTCCTTTACCTAGAACAAAAATCCCAAGCTTTCTCTGTTTGTTTGTTTTCCCTCTTCATTAATATAAACAAATAATTAAAATTCCCGGTGATGAGCACCAAGAACTAGGAATAATACAAAAGAAAGAAGAAAGAAAGAAACAAGAGAGCCTGATTTGGAAGAAAGACAAAAAGCTTTTGTTTATTTAAATTTTGTTTTTTTCTTCCCTTTGTTTCGATGTCCAATATCACAGGCGATGGACAGAACTTCCATGGCTCCACCAACTCTTTGCTTCCGACTAACAGCAACGCCTCGACTGCTCCCAAGGAGCAACCGCATACGGTGCCTCCGCCGACGAAGAAGAAACGGAGCCTCCCCGGCACTCCTGGTAAGTCATCAGAAAATAGGGTTTTCAAGATCTGTGGGAATGGAGGAACGATTCATGTGATTTGTTTGGTAAAAATGTTTTGCTGATAAGTTAACGGAATATAAGCAGATGATACAATTCAAGTTGTTTTTTTGTTGTCTTTTACTTGCCGGATTTGGAAAGTTTTCGGATCGAACGCAACAAGGAAACCATTTTTTGAGCTGGTTTTGTTATGAGCAAGATCTTAGTACTTTTTCTCGGGAAAAAATAATATTTTTTTAGAAGAAATCTGGGTTGAATTATTGAAGTTTTCATTCTTTAAGCTGTGCAAAGGAAAAGGGTTTCAATTATTGGTTGGTTATCACAATCATTGCAGTATAAACAGTTTGGCTTACCCTAGTTTCTCTCCCTTTTGTTTTTTCATTTCTTTTGTTTAAACCCGTTTAATGGTAAAAATGGCGATAATTCAATCAAATTTTATCTAAATATCTTTCGAGTCGAGTTATTCGATTTATATTTAAATTTAATTATAAATATTTATTATGCTAGGATACATTAATCAAACTTTGATCTAAACAAATTCGAATAACTTGTGATTGGTCCTACTTATTTCTCTCTTTTGTTCTTTCCTTTTGTTTTTCAACTGTTTAATGGTAGAAAAAAATAACCCAAAGTGATTGTAATCACAGTGTCCTGCATGATTCTTTTCTTTTTTTATGTGCAGATCCCAATGCAGAAGTGATTGCTTTATCACCAAAGACACTTCTGGCCACGAATCGATTCGTATGTGAAATCTGCAACAAAGGGTTCCAAAGAGAACAAAACCTTCAGCTCCATCGTCGGGGCCATAACCTGCCGTGGAAGCTGAAGCAAAGAACCACCGCCGAGATCCGCAAAAGGGTTTACGTTTGCCCGGAGCCGTCGTGCGTCCACCACAACCCGGCTCGAGCACTCGGCGATCTCACGGGGATCAAGAAGCATTTCTGTCGAAAACATGGCGAGAAGAAATGGAAATGCGACAAGTGTTCCAAGAAATACGCCGTGCAATCTGATTGGAAAGCTCATTCCAAGACCTGTGGCACAAAGGAATACAAATGTGACTGTGGCACCATTTTCTCCAGGTATATATATCCACTATAATAATGCATGGAAAGTCTTTCTCCCAACGTTTTTCTATTCACAAGACTCTAATAGATGATCTTGCTTACATTGGATCATTTAGAGCTATAATACTGAAATAAGCCTCTAATATTTATTCAAATAATCGTTTTATTTTTTTTTATCTTTTTCTTAAAATATCTTATCTCCGAATGTTTTAATTTTTATCAAAATATCATATATATATATTGAATGAAATTCGTTAGTTGACTAACAACCAATGCATGTTGCAGATGTGATATCATGTGCTTAATTATATGTCATCTCATCACTTTGAGTGACGTGATACATATTATGATATCACGTTGAGTGATGTGGTACATGCCATATTATCACCCGGTGATGTATCAATCATGTCATTACACGTCAATAATTAATATATGTGAAAATCCTACGTCATCAACACATATAGATCGATAATCAACTAGCTCTTTCCATCTAATATGAGTCATTTTGAATACTAATACATTAAAAAAATAAAAAAAAAAATCATTAAAAAAACGTTGAAGATTAGGTTTTTTATATCTTATTTTATTTAGATTAGTTCAACATATTGTATTTTGGGTCAATGAATATGGAGATTAAAGAGTTATAGTCTTTGTTTGACCACATGGAATTGTTATTTTAATATGGTGATCTCATCACATCAATAATGTTAGTCAATGTTAAAAGCCTTAACCATGGTTCTCGTCGATAATCTAAAGATTAAGTGATAAATCACTAACCCAATTTGTGTGTGTGTGTGTGTGTGCAGAAGGGACAGCTTTATAACGCATAGAGCTTTCTGTGATTCCCTAACCGAAGAAAACAACAAAGCGAGCCAAGGACTTGCAGTACCAAACGTTGGACCGACAAATCCACAAGGCCAAGTTGTTGCCGCCGCCGCCGATCATCTCATCCCCGCAATTCCAATCAATAACAATCCCAACATATCAGATCCGTTCAGCAACGACACTAAAAGCTCTTTGCAGCCGTTAAACATGACGCGAACCATGTTTTCAGACGGCCACGGAAGCGTGTTCGGCGGAGCGAAACCCGGCAATATTCGGTTCGACGGAAACAGCGGACACCTCTTCTCCGGCCCGGCCTCCATGTCCGCCACTGCATTGTTGCAGAAAGCAGCTCAAATGGGTGCAACGGCAAGTACCAGCAGCCTCAACTCTCCAACGTTGATTAACCAAAGTTTGGTCACCACAAGTACCATGGCGCCACCATCGTTTTTTTCGATGCAAAGCTCAGCTGTTAACAACGATATGGCGATGTTTTCGGGGATTTTCGAGCAGAACAATGCGAGTTGTGCTGGTTTATCAGGGTTCAGTGCTGATACGATGACTGTTGATTTCTTGGGGATTGGGGGATCGAGACCGAGGAATCTACTTGAGAAGCATCAGCATCAGCAGCAGCAGCAGCAGCAAGAATTGGATCAGTTGGGAGGAATTGGGGAAGGTAGGGTTCAAGGGTTTAGCCATTTTCAGCAACATGCAGCAATGTGGAAAGTTTAAAAATACAAGTAGAAAGCTTAGGTATCTCCCTTTTGCTTGTAACTTCTTTCATCACTTTTCTTTTTGAAATGCATTCTTGTAGCCATGGATTGATGTTTTAGATGAATCTAAATGTTATTGCTAAAGGGCAAGATATTAAGCATTAAACCCATGCATTTCGTATTAACCTACCCTAAACAAGGTTTTTTTCATAGAAAATATATCATGGTAAATTACAAGTTTAGTGTCTAAACTATCAGTTTTGGTCCATTTTAGTACCTAAACTTTTAATTTTTTTCAAAATTATACCTTAAGTTTAGTTTTTGTTTCATTTTAGTATCACGCTATTAAAAATCTAGTTTTTGTTTTATTTTAGTACCTATTATCAAAATTTAACGTTAAGTTTTGAAAGTTTAGGTATTAAAATGAACCAAAACTGATAGTTTAGGTACTAAACGTGTTAAGTTTTTAAAGAGTAATACTAAAATGAAATAAAAACTAAACGTTATGATTTTTAAAAAAAATTGAACGTTTAAGTACTAAGACAAATAAAAACCGATAATTTATGTACTAAAATCATAGTTTACCCCATATATTATTATATCTTACATTCATCAAAGTTCGTAACGAACTTTTACACATCTATAATAGAGTGGAATTACCATTATTTTTTGGAGCATTTTGGCACTGACGTTTCATTTTGGAGCAAATAACCCGAGCAAATAACCCTATTTATATATGGAAACCGTTAGTTAACACACAATCTTTTTTTTATTAAGCTAAGGTGATTAACAAAGTAATATTTGTTCTAAATATACTCTCAACCATTTGAAATGAACGCTCAATCACTCTGCTGCAGTCGATGGTGTTCGAACTCGTGACCTCTAGGAACAACAACGATTCCTTTAACCACTGAGGTAAGTTGGTTCGTGCTAGTTAACACACATTCAACACTTCAAAATAGGGATCATTTTTACCCTAAAATAAAATGTCTTGAAACGTTAAAAAGACTTTGCTAAAAGGATTACAAATGAAAATGAAGCACGAAAAGACTTAAACTCTTACCTTGGCTAAATTCTTGGAGAGGAGAAGAAGAAAAAAGAAACGTGAAAATGAAGGGAAAAGAAAATGAAATAAATAAATAGGCTCAACTTTTAAAATGGAATAATTGTGCCTTTTTGATACTTCTTTAATTTCAAAACTTAAAGTCTCTTTTTTTTTTTGCTAATTGGGCTCTAAACTCAAACCAATTAACCCAACAACTTGAAAATATAAAATTCACGGGGTCCATTTACCTTTAAGGTAAACCCGAAACTACAAACCCAGAATCTGGGGTGTTACATAAACGTTTTTATTTCCCAACAAGTAATAAAGAGACATCCAGTCCTTTTACTCTTATTCATTATGATGTTTGGGGGCCTTCCACTATTCCTAACATAACTAGTGCTAGATGATTTATGTCATTTATAGACGATTGTACTCGAGTTACATGGATCTTCCTACTAAATAGAAATCAAATGTTAGCTCTACTTTTAAAACCTTTTACACCATGATTAAGATTCAATTTGGGGTTGAAATAAAGCAGTTCAGATCAGACAATGTCAATGACAACTTTAATCAAGTCATATCTCTCTATTTTCTAAAAAAATTTATCATACATGAATCTTCCTATGTAAATACTCCCCAACAGACTGGTGTAGCAGAAAGGAAGAATTTCATATCCTCGCCATAACAAGTTCCCTTCTATTTAAAAAAGTTCCTAAACATTACTGGGGAGAGGATGTGTTAACTGCCACTTACATGATGAATAGACTACCCACTAAAACTCTTTAATCCCAAAGTTCACTTCAAGTCCTCACAAATATTTTTCCAAATTTTAGCCCAACACTTAACCTAAAACCTAGAATATTTGAGTATGTTGCTTTTGTTCATATACATTCTCAAGGCCGGGGTAAGCTTGATCCAAAGGCATTTAAATGCATATTTATTGGTTATTTTTCCACTAAAAAAGGCTACAAGTGTTATCACCCACCTATAAGAAACAATACACGTCTGCTGATGTCACTTTTGTGGAAAAAGAATGTTATTTTATTGTTCCTTATCTTCAGGGGGGAGATATCATTTAGGGAAGATAAGGATGCATATTTGTTTCTCATATAGCCCCTCATTAACTTCCATATACCTATATATTTTGAACAAATACAACAAACACAACCTACTCCTTCTCCTACAACACAGCCTACTCCTACTCCAACTTCTCTATAATTAGAGCCTAAAACACCACAACCAAATATCCAGGACACTACTCATCCCCTATTGGTCTACTCAAGGAAGAAAGCACCTATGCAGATCCAATCATACCCTTCTCCTGCTCCTATACAGTCTGAGGTACATTCTGAAACTCATTCTGATCAAAATGATTCTGAAAATAATTCTATGTTTGATTTTGAAATTTCCATTAGAAAAGGAAAAAGAACTTGTACCACAAAATATCCTTCCTATCTGTTCATGACCAACACAAAAACTTATCCACCAATCACAAAGCCTTCCTTACCAGCCTAAATGCTATTATAATTCTTAAGATTGTATCTGAGGCATTAGAGAATGAGAACTAGAAAAATGCTATAAAAGAGGAAATAGAAGCACTAAAGAGGAATAGAACATGGGATTTGGTGAAGCTGACAGAAGGGAAGAAAACAGTGGGATATAGATGGGTATTTATAGTCAAGTGTAAGTCAGATAACAAGGTTGGTGGCAAAGGAGTACTCTCAAACCTATGGGACAGAATACTTTGAGACATTTGCTCTTGTTACAAAGATGAACACAATAAAAATCCCCCTGTCCTTAGTAACTATTCAGGGACTTGTACAAGGTAAATTTTTTATGCGATGTCTGATCATGTAATTTTTTTTCACCGTTTCATAAGTAATTATATTAGATCAATAATAAATTTGCACGTCAATCAAATACTTAATTATTTTTCTTAAAAATATTGGCATCACATTGGCGTTTGAAGAATAATGATATTATCAATTTAGACTTATTGATGTCATTATCAAAAAAGAATCTCGAATTTAACTAAAACTAAATTAAACCAAAGGATTAGTTGGATAATTAATCCCTCCAAAAAAACATATTGCTGCTAAAAATGATGCCACCTTATTTAGTTCGTATTCTATTTGGTATATCCCTATATATAATCATTACCATTCTCCCGTGTCTCTTTCATTCTCGTCCCCAAAATTCCAACAATGGAGCTCATGCCATTAGAAATCAATCTCCATTGTGCCAAAGACCTCAAGAACGTCAATATTTTCACCAAGATGAACGTCTATGCCGTCGTTTCAGTCAACGGTGACCGTCGCACGGCGCAGAAAACACCCATCGACAAGGAGTGCGGTGCATACCCGAACTGGAATCACACCATGAATATGACCATCGACGAGGCCATCGCCCGTCGGAACCACCACAACCTCGTGATCCGATTGAAGTCCGGTCTTATGCTCCGCGACAAAGAGATCGGGACCGTCCAGGTGCCGATCAAGGACCTGCTCGATCACAACGACGGGAACTCCAAGGTGGAGTACCAGAACGTGAGTTATAGCGTCAGGTTGCCGAACGGGAAGACAAAAGGCGTGTTAAGTTTCTCTTACAAATTCAGGGAACCGTTCACCATGCCATCCGTCACGCCGCCTCCGATCGCGGCGTCCTCATCCATGTACGTGGATAGAAACAACAATATGAGCAATAAACATGGGGAGAAGCTGGTTATGGCGTATCCGCCACCGCCGCCTGGTTATCCGGAGCCGAGCTCGGGGCATCATGCTCCGCCTCCACAGGGGGTGGTGGGGTATGCTTACCCTGCACCCAGTGGTTATCCTCCTCCTCTGCCGTATGGGTACCAGCAGGGACTGGCTCCAGGGTATGTGTATCCGACGGCGAATGGTGGATATGGGTACCCGCCGTCGGAGCAGAAACCGAAGAAGTCGAAGAAAGGAGGGATGGGGGCAGGGTTGGGATTGGGGATAGCCGGTGGATTATTGGGTGGAATGTTGATCGGTAATATGGTTGAGGATGCCTATGAAGCTGGTGTTGAAGATGGCCTTGATTATGATTTTTAAATTATTAAATTATTTATAAATTTTAATTCAAATATAACTATATTTAATGTATTTAAAATTATAATTAAATTTAAAAAATTTAGAATATTTTTATTAAAATTAATTTCTTTCTTTTTAAAGATGAGAAGGTCAAGTAGGAATCTTCAATCAGTATGTACGGTTAATGGATTGAGCCGAACTTCTATATTAGGGTATTCATGGATACTAAGGAAGGTCGGGGCTCAAGGAAGGCCAGAGAACCCATCACGGGCAACAAAGTTTGGGTGCAAAGGTATACTATAAGAGATGCAAGATCATATAAAGATGCTCTGATAGGTGTTCCCAGGTTTGTATCGAATTAGCTTAACTCAAAAGATGTTCATGAAAATGAAACAATGATTAGATACAAGGAAGATTCTCCTGTCTTATATTATGTGAACCACTCCCCTTATCTTCTCACCAAATGCTCTTCTTCTTTCTTCCCTCTTGCATTCTAAGTGAGAGTTCGAGCATTTCAAGTCTAGTATGGTGAAACTAAAGTGAGAATGTCAATCTTCATCCTCCAAACTTTGTTTTAAGTTCCATTTCATTAGTTTTTAAGCATAGAACAAAAAACGGGCCTTGAGAGATTTGTGGGAATCTATGGATTCTAGTTAAGTTTTGTGTTATAGGGATCATTCCCCGGTAATTCCAGATCCCCTGAACCAAACAGCCACATAATGATTCCTTGGAATTTTCTGAACAAAAACCTGGTTGAACAGTAAAAAAATTATATCCCATGTGTTCTATGCTATCTGATTGCAGCCCGTCAAAACTAGGGATAGGTATGGGTCGGGTCGGATTTTGTCCTTCTGACTGATCTGAAAATTATAAATCCTTCATCTGATCTGAATCCGACCCAAAAAATATACACCTTTCATTCGATCCGAATCCGACACGACCAATTTGAAATAATATAATTATTAAAAAATATTATTTTTATTTAGTAAAAATAAAGATTTAATTGAAAGAAAATAATATATAGATTGTATTAGTGTAATTTTCCCTAAATATATAAGGTAAAAATATAATTTTTTGGGTTATGTATTTTTTACTCTAAACACGAACCTGACACGATCCAATCCGACCCGAATTTAATTTTTTTTAAAAAAATATTTGACTCAATCAGATTGGATCAGATCGAAACCCGTCTGATTTAGGTATCATGCCCATCCGTACTCAAAACCCGAAATACTAGTTCACTTTCCACTAATGTCGATCATTTCACTTTCACCCTATCAATTAAATTTAAGATTTTTATATTTTTAAATTATATTTAATATCTTTAGTTAATTAATAATATCTATTTTAAATTACGAGTGTAAGTTGGTTTTTATATTTCGCAATAAGCTATGGTTCGAGTTATTTTATGTTACTTTTGTTTTCATTTTTTGACATTCCTTATAATATAAGTTAAATAAGAAATGTTGTGAAACATCTTCACACATTATTTATTTTTCTTCCACATGATGTCAGGTGTCATCGTCTGATTGGAGGAAAGAAATCTTTAATAAAAATTAAATTAAGAAAAATTTTATCCAGTATTATTATTATAGCACATATCTTTATATAATTGGAAGATTAAATGTATTGTAAACTAATTTAAAAATTATAACTAATTTGATAAAATGTGTAAGTAATGAGGATTAAATGTGTAATTATGCCAATTTTATTAATGACATGTCAGCACTTCCATTAAATATTAACGACAATTGGCTTGATTGATGCATTCAAATAATTGGATAATCTAATCGACAAAATTTAAAAAATAATTGTCAAAATAAAAGGAGATTTTAGTTAAGTGACCACTGGTACAATTTACCGTAAAATATATACATATAGAGTTAATTATATTATATATTCTTAAAAAATGATTTTCATTCTAAACTGATTCTCAAAATTTTATTTGTTATTATTTTATCCTTAAATTATAACTTTCATTTTATAATACATATTTTTATGTAAATATTTCATTTAGTACCATGACGAATAATAACTGATTTTCTCGTCAATTTTTCTAAAAAAGTGCTTTTACATATATTATTAAATGGGTTAAAATCCATTTATATGGTACAAAACTCTTTTAGAATCATTGGATGAAGAGATATCAAAGGCTGAGATTAATTTATTATTATTTTAGTGAATATATTCTTAATTTTACTATTAATCTTAGACTTTGATTTTTTTTTCATCCAACGATCTCAAAAAAATTTAAAACTTTTTATTTTTAAATAATGTAAGCGGACCCGGCCCCTTTTTAAATATAATGACTAATATTTTTTATATGTTTCAATATTGTAGATGAAAATATTATTATATACAATAACTTCAAAAATCATCTTTAAAGTGAATTGAAAAGGGAAAAGAAAATTACTTTAATTCTCCATGATTGACATTTTAATCTATCCAACATGAAAAGCATCAATTTCATCGATGGACCTCAGAATCTGCAATTGCATCTTCCTCAATCCAACAGCAAACTCCAAAGCCTCGTTCATGGCGGTCCGAGCGCCGGCCACGGCGTCTTCAAGCTCTTGATTAACCATATAATAAGAACACATTTGGCCAAGTATACGGTCATGCCTTTCTTGGAACCTCATAGCTCTTTCTTCAGCATGTTCCAATGCCTGGCTAATGATCCTTAGCTTCTCTATCAAAACCTGTTGCCTTTGCCATTTCTTCAAACCGGGGAGAACGAAAATGAGCGAAGTGGAGAAGCCGAAAACTGCGAAAATTATTCGAACATAGTCCATCGAGACGCTTCTGTTTATTAGGAGAATGAGAAATGAAGTCTTGTTTATGTAGAGAAAAGGAGATGCCTTGCTTCTACATTAACACGTTCTTGGTTGCTTGCTTGATACTCTTGCTCCACTGTTTGCTTCGTGAAATGGTTTAATCCTCTAAACTTTGTCCACTCTGATCATGTGGAAAGAATAAATATTCAAACTCACCATTTCTGTTTCGAGATTTTCGCGGATATTCTACCCCGAGAAGTACTAGTATCCGAGAAATGTTTTTTCGATCTTCTTTTTCTTGCCTCTCGGGTTTCATGTTGGATGACCGGCATTTCTCCAAACGCTGACGATGGATCTCAGGATCAGCCCAGCCCTTTCCCCAATCGGAGAAACTGGAATAAGCTCTCGGTTTTCTCATTGAGAGAAGCATATCTGCTTCCGGGTAAACACAGAAAGCTTCATCACTTTCAGACTGGAGAAACGCCAGTCCCCCTTTTGTTGGTTCTGGAAATTTGATCTGAACATGGATCTGCACGGTTAAACAATAAACCGGAGTGCTCATGAGATATATTCGTGTCGTTTCGTGTGTTAGAAATGCAAGCCTTATGGAATCTAAGAAAAGAAATGAACAACCAATAAAAAGGAGCAATGAAAGAGGACTTAATATTTTGTTCATGGACTAAAATCGGGGAAGGCCGGTTGTTAAGCGTATACCTTATCGTTCCCCTCTCCGATAAATCCTTTAGCTTCCATGATTCGAGCAAGGCCTCTCCACCACAGCAGATCCATCGTTGCAAAATTTTTGAGACTGCATATGGCCATCATATGGCAATCATCAGATAGAAGAACATATATACCACATGTTAAACCAGGTAGATTCAGGGACGAGAGGTACATCACCTGCTCCCTTATTTTACAAACAAAGGTTCTGAGGTTTGGCTTCGCTACGAATTTTTTCCGTTCAATATCACTACACAGAGAATCATCATATGTACCGTCCATGAAACTGCTCTCTGCCTGCAATTTTTATATGAATATCATGAATGGAATATTTCAGAAACTAAATCCAATTGATCCCCAGTGTATAATTTGATCTTAATTTCATGTTGTCTTCAAGTTTCTAATGCAATGTAAGAAATTAGACCACAAAAATGAAAAAACCACACTTACATAACGAGCCGCAATAATTTGCATAAAAATATTTGCCTCCTCTTTCATATCCTGCATTTTAGGAGGTCCATCAACACAAACGTCACACCTGAGGAAAAGGAATTTCACTAAAATAGTTAGAATATATATATATATATATATATGCACATACACACAAACAGTTATAAACTTATCTTTTTATAGTTCTAGATTGATTTCCCTTTCAAATATATAACAATAAGTATTCATACAAAAATGAAAAATCCCAAAATAACATTGCATATGGTACCATACAAAACCTTAAAATAAGCTTACATACAAGAGGCACTTCTCATCACCGAAATCCTCCCCAAAGTACTCGACAAGGATTTTCCCTCGACAAGAAGTATTCATTCCATATCTGCAAGTGAATAAAAAGTTGTGATAAAACATCAAAGAGGAAAGAGAGCAAAACAAGAACATATTTTTATGTAAACCTGAAAATTTCAGATAACATTTTATAAGCCGTTCTTGACTGTTCTTCGCTTCTTTTACTAGGCAGTAGTGTTGGTACTCTTGATAAGTTTGCATATAAAACTGCTAGCAGAAAGAGTGCAGATCAAGTTCACATTAAAAATGTACCCAAAATAGCGGGTAAAGAAGCTGATCAAAAACAAGCCTCAGATAGTACTGTTAAGGGTAAAATGTATTAGTTCTCAGTTAGAAAACAAAGTACATATGATTTTCCTTTGACAATGATTGACATATATTCTAAAATAGAAAACAGGCTTACTGCAACATGCTAATTTTCCATCCCTTCTGGCTCGACCAGCTTCTTGATAATATGCTTCCAAACTCTGCAAGCAGAATCAAGCTTTAATGCTCAAGTGAACAAAAAAGAGAGAATTATACCCCCAACATATGACATAAACCCGTAAAATAATAGGCATAAAAGTTACAACAGAAGATGCACAATACATCAAAGCCAGAAGATAAACCTGTGGCCAACCATAATGTATGATTCTTCGAACATTTAACTTGTCAATCCCCATTCCGAAAGCCATTGTTGCAACAATAACCTGCATAGAAACCTTGCCTGTTAGATGACTGGATAAGATG